TCCTATGTAATGCACTGGATAAGTGCAATAATAGGCACTGGAAGGTGCACAAAATCCACACAAAATTACTGGCATTTATAGTTCAGAACAAATCTGCATAATTACATAGGTTTTTAAAATTAGAAAAAAAACAATTGTCTTATACCTGAGCTGTATCACACAGGCTTTATGATTTTACCCAGTGATTAGCACAGTCAGACCAGTAATTTAGTCATGTAGCACATCTGGAGTTCTCTGCATTTCTGTACATACTTTCCTCAAGTAATGAACTCCAGTTTCCTACTTATATGGACTCTTGGTAAAAGTAACTTTAAAGAGAAAATTAAAAGTAAGTAAAATCATGGCTGCAGGAAGACACACTTCCCACAAAGCATGATTAAGATACAGTAGAAAGGGTAAGTTTAGGACACCGTTGCTGCTGTATAGCCATGGTCTGAAAGGCTTTCAGGAGCTACACTCTAGAGGTTTTAAGTGCCAGGAGGGATTTCCAGTACCCTGTAGAGAAAGAATCTTTGTTCATAAAGTTGACATGTGCTGGATTCTAGCCAAACTGTTGTGTTTGTAGATGTCATGGGCCTTCGACTCTTTTTATTTAAATGGTTGAGCTAATTGCTGAGCCATGGGTGACTAATGTTTTAAACAGAATCAGAGACATCATTCCCTGGTTCGGCCTTCTCCTTTCATTGGCATCTCTGTGGAAGGGCAGGATTCAAAATATTGTGGATTTTGAAATATTGTGTTGCCTTTCTTTGCATAGATGCGTGCTGTTGAAAACTGGGCTTTGAAAATAAATATTTTCCCCAAAAGGGAGGGTGTGCTAGAGAAGGATGGGAGCCAGCATGCTGCTGGGCAAGGAGGTACTGATGGGAATGCAAACCCCAAGAAAGCTGAGTGAGAGCAGGGGGCAGCCTGTCCAACTGCAACATATGAAAGCTCTACCCTGCAGCAGGAGCAGTAGGGGTCTGGTGCTCTAAGGTGCTGAGCAGCCAGCTACTGATTCCTAGGTCAAGTCTTGTCACCTGCTCTTTACAGAAAAAGAAGTTGACCTGTTTTAACATATATTAACATGATAGTTGGTAGGCTGCTGAGAAATGGGAATCTCTCGTCTGGGGAAATTGGATATGTGGAGTAAGAGAGTCTCTGCTTTGGGTAGCTTTATAAACAGACAGAGAATGCAGAACACGTACCAAGGAAGGGGTGACCCATTTTGCAAAGGTACAAAAAAGCAGCTGTCTTGTCCCACTTGCATCCTTCTGATTATTTAATCTGATAGGTGCTTTGTTTGTTTAATTTGAAGTTCCCCTCAACTAAGAGGAACTAACTTATGATTTCCACATTACTCTGTAAATATGTTCCAGATCACAAAAGCTAGTAGTTTTCTTGGTGTCATATTAGACCAGTTCTCCTTTGCTACCTCAATAAAGACACTCCAATAGCAGCTGTGATATTTTTCCATATTATTAGAGTTCAGTAGTAAAAGCCAAGGTCAGAAGGAGAACAAAGCACAGCATGTTAGGCATTAGTGGCTTTGAAATAGCAAAGGCTGTGAGGGTGCAGGCAGATCCAGAGAGGTATGGATGCATGTTTGTTTCTAAAAACTCAGGTCCTAAAAATATAATGCAGATTTTTAAAGCATGTGGAGTCTCATTTTCAAAGTATCTCTGCACCCCAATGCATGAAGACCAATAACAGTGACTCTTCAGCAGAACAGCATGGGATCTTTCTACTTCAAGATCAAATTATCTGCATCCTTCACAAACCATATGCTTTAGAAGACTTGTTTATTCCTGAAACCTGCTGCTAATCATGCTGATTCTTCAAAACTGGAACAAGCTTTCCAAATATACTCCTTTTCCTCGTATTAATTCTGAGGATTTTAACTGAACTAGAGATCACACTGAGAAATTGAAAAACTATGAGCATGACCTGGCATATTCTATTCAGCAGCTAAAATATTCTCTGTGAGATCACCTGTAAGACCACTGTGAGGAAAGGATGCTACGTCACTTTCTTAGAGTAAGGATAAGGTTTTCAGGACTCAAGGTAATGTAAAAGTGCACAATCCAGCTTTGAGCACTTACTGGAAAAGAGCTGTTTGGGTGCAGAAGCCAAATGGATAAGCAGTCTCCCTGCAAATTTGGAGTGGAGCAAGAAGATAAAGGCAGGATTTTAAACTAGAAATACTGTGGGAGGGAGGTAACAACCCACATGTAAATGCAGAAGTAGCAGACAAGGGTGGAAAAAAATAGTTTTGGGTAGTCAGAGCAAGAAAGACCTCAAGAATTGTGAAACAAGGTGGAAGATCTCACCTCCAGAGTGAGAAAATGCATTAAGTCTGAGGAATATGCAGGATCAACTGAAACTCTGCACATAGTTGTGAAAAAATAATGTTACTGGAAAACTGAGATGTTGAGGGACATTTCTCACTACCAGAAGCTCATCAGGAAAAGAAGTTATATGAAGGAGCCACTTGGGTGTGAGGGGCTTCTGTCTGGATAGATGAGAGCTGCTGGAGAACTTGTGGATCAGCTTCAGTGAAGAGGCGAAAAGGAGCGATTCTGTTGTGGGAGTGCATAATAGACCATCCCAAGACAGTGGACATGGGGACTTCTTAAAACAACTCATGGAAACCTCTGTCTCACAAACCCTCATTGCCACCAGGGGCTTGATCTACCCTGATGACTGCTGAAAAGGCAGCACATATATAATGTACAACCAGGGGTGGTGCACATTGTGCTTCACTAGCAATGAAGAACTGTTGGGGAACACAATAATCAGTGGCAACCTAGGCTGGAGTTATTGTGAAATAGTGAAGCTCAGGACCATTAATTGAGTGAGGACTAAGAACAGAAAAGCATAGACCTTGGACTTCAGGTGAACAGACTTGTCATTTTGGGGAACCAGTAGCTGGGATCCCACCAGGGAATGCTCTGAAAGATAAAGCAACACAGAAAAGCCGCAAGAGTTTAAAGCATAGTGCCTCCAAATGCAAGAAATAGGTAAGCACACCAGTAGAGGAGTGTGGCCAAACTGTGAACTCATGGTAGGGCTTCAGTGCAGAAGAGATAAGGGAAGCAGAGACGGGCTACAAAATGAAAATTTGGAAGCATTTTCTGTTCATTATGGTTGGTGTCAGAAATGTTAAAACTCATTAATTGAAGCTGGTGTGGGAATCAAAGACAACAGGAAGAGTTTCCATCACTACACAAAAACTACACAAACAGCTAAACAAGGCAAACATGGACTTGCTGCTGAAAGGAGGGGATGATTCAGTGACAGTGAACAGTGATAAGGTCAAGGCACAAAAGTGTGTACTTTGCCTTAGTTTGCATCATCAAGGTCTCTGATGTCTCTGTGTTTAGAGATGGTTCAAGGATGAGGAACACAACCAGCAATAGGTAAGGAAGGACTCATGGATTGATTGTGAGATCTGAACATGCCCAAATCCATGGGATCATTAGGAATCCTAATGGGATCATTGCAAGACCAAGGAGATGGAGAAAGATAGATGTTGCATCCACCTCTCAAAAGGACAATCCAGAGAACAAGAGCTTTGTCATTCTGACTCCCTGGGTAAATCAGGCAGCAAGTCCTCAGGGAACATTTCTGGACAGTTGAGGAAGGGGGTGGGGATGGGAACAGCATCCAAAATTTAATAAAAATAAATCATGTCTGACCAACATGATTGTCTTCAATAGCAAATTAAAATATTTGCAGAGAATGAGAGAGTAGTACATATCATTTACAACTTTAGGAATTCTCTGATAAGCAGAAATTGTCTGTCATTGCAACATCAAAGCCCATAAAAATACATAATTATTCATAGTTTTTCTCGGTACAAATCCTACCTTCTGTGATAGAAGACTGTATTAGTAGAAACTGTTCACGTTAAAGCTAGTGGACTGGCCATAGGCAAGTGTACCCCTTTACAAATTCTAAATGGGATTTGTTTTGTATTATACGCAGCAAAATTATGTCAACAGTGGTTCAAGATGGCTTGTGTCTCCTCCCTGCACACAAGTTTCTCTTAGAACTGTGTCTGTCTCCATTGTGTCCTGGGTACATGCTCAGAAAGAGGTTTTATTAGTTTTTTGGAAGCTCCTGTATGACTCAAAGCCAAGCCAAGCCTGCTGACTTTCACTGAGATGAGTAAGTTTTTTGGAGGCTTTCAGAAACTCTTGCCTATGGGTGCCATTGTCCCTACTGTTGCATGCTTATCTCCTTCCTCCGAGTCAGGCCTAGTCTTAAAGCCTTGAAGAGAGACCATGAAGCTGTCTGAGTAAATGCTTTTTTTTTGTCCTAGTCATTGTATAACTTTTTTGAGGCTTTCATTATACAAAAGTGAGGTGCATCTTACATCAGCATCTAGATATATTGTTGACTATTTTGTTCATTTCTGCTGACTAGAACATGTACTTTAGTCATGGTTTGTACTCACAGGTCTTTTAGGTAGTGTTCATTTGTTACTTTGTAAAATAGGACAGGTTTATTTTGTCTACCCTGCAATAAGGCCCCATGAAACCAAGGTAAAGGAGCAGTCCTATAAAAAGAGAGGCTGTAACAATGTCTGTCTGGCCCACAAACCCAAGATGATGATCTGCCCCATAGTTTTCAGTACACATTAAAAATGCTTCAATGATATACTTGAATTATGACTGCTGTATCCTGAATTGCTCTTCAGATTGAGGGAAGAGGGAAGGCAGGAAGGATTTGTGCCATTGCAGGGAGGTGGGGATGCAGAAGAAGAAAAATTAATTTTCTGCAGTGTAGAGTCTATGTCCTCTCAATCATTGCAGTTACCTGCTTATTTATTATTTCCAGTGCCTTTCAGTAACCTCATGTAGGTGCTTTTCATACATTCACATGGTGAAATCCAGGTTGACATTCCTGACATTGCTGAATGCAAAACTGTAGTAACAAAGAGTCAGTCCTCAAATTGGCTTTGAATAGCTCTTGAGAGGTATCACACACCACGTACAAAGCAGTGAAAATCAACTTACCTATTAGTGGGACAGAGTCAGAAGTTGCAGGCATGATCTCAGCCACGAGCAGCATGAATACAGTCAGGGAAAGAAGGACAGTGATACCTGGAGGGAGTGAACATATTTGGGAAGAATGAGGTAAATGAACTCTGCAGCTGCTCCTCTGATGTCTTTGCTGTTAAATATAGCATTGTCCTGATATACAGCTAAGGCAAACCCATGACTTCATGTCTGTCAATGAAGATTAGAACTTCTAAAAAGTGCGAGTGTTTTTAGATGCAACTCTATCTGCTCTCTTTTCACCTTTCTCTAATACACACAAACCCTTGCTTCTGTCAAAGTAATGGAGAAATCTTTTTTGCTGAGTGAAACGAAGCTTGCAAAACTGGTGAACTACAGTTTTCCATAACATTGCACAAAGCCCAAATGCTTGTTAAGGGCTTTGCACAGACAGCAGCCTAGGTTTTGCTATCACATATTATATAACATCCTTCAAAGACATGCAGTCTGTTTTAAAAGAAGCTCTTTATTCTATGTGGAAAGGCTGTTGCTAAACTTAACCATCCTGATACTGAGAAATCAAAAGGTCAATGCATGAACATTAGCTCCTATTTTTATGTCAACATTTTTGTACTTCAGCTCAAATAACTCTTTTCCTTATCCCCATCCTTTATTTCATAGACAGCAATTGTACCCCTGATAGCCTGTGTTTTATTTCTTGTAAGGCAGGCTGCTCAGATACCTTTTTTTTAAACCAAAAAAAGCCCCACTGAGGACAATTCATATGATTTAGAAGTCTCTGTCCTGAGACAGAATCATGCACAATTAACTCTTAAGATCTCAGCTGGCCCAGTCTGGTGTATTTACAGCTCTTGCCTATCTCCTCTTGGAAGGAGACCCTTCCCAGTTTTATCAACACATACAACAGTAAATCTCATTTAGCCCTTCCCATGGCTGTGTTCACAGGGGACACATGACTAGGTGTTTTGGGAGCTAATTTTTAAGGTGAAAATCCAGTGCCCAGCTGCTGCTGTTCACAGCTCTTCCACTCTTTGCTTCCTAGTATGTTTCATCTGAAAAAGAGAGTCAAGAGTCAATGAGCTGTGAAATGCATTGAGATGTATTAAAGTACATAACAACAGGCATGACAGAATACTATCACTGCCGCCTGTGCCAGCAACAAGTTCAGCTTCCTCCCAGGCCACAAGATATTATATGTAGCACAGGATGTGTGAATGCCATACAGAAAGCTGTTATCCTTGCTCCTGTAACCAAAGAAGTACTTCTATTGGTCTTCTAGTGAAATCTTTCTTTGTCGAGCCACATACTGCATGAGGTATTTATTTTCCTATTTTATAGGACACTTATAAAACAAATTAATATTTTAGCACTTACCTAAAGAAATCTTCTCCCCAGAATCAGCTGGCAAAAGGAATACAAGCAGTGCTAAGCCAGATATGAGAACACAGGGAATGAGTAAGTTCAAGCCATAGTAGAGGGTGCGTCGACGCATTGTGATCGTGTACGTCACATCTGGGTATGGTTCTTTGCAGCATTCATAGTACATCTCATTCCTCTTCCCTGGGACACCTACAGACAGGATGATCAGAGCAGTGGGGAGAGATGCAGGACTCCCAGTTACCTCCCTGGACTGGACTAAGAAGTGATGGTTTATGAGTCAATGTGTGTCACTCTGCTATTCTTGGTCCACCTTCTGTGTTTTATAGGGTTTGCTTTCATGCCTTCTGAGTTATTCAAACCTAGCTTAGCTAATGGAGCTCATCTGAGCCAGAACAAAACAGTCCTGAGCATCACAACCTCAACAATGTGCATTCTGCCTTCCTACATTCTGTGAGTGGTAACATACTGTTGATGTGATATTCACTAGCACATGCAGCAGATTTTCTGGGTGACAAGTGCCACTGCTTCTTACTATTCTGTGATCCTCTATACATTTTTGCTCTTTTTTTGTCAGGAAAAACAGACAGGCTTACTTTTCAAAAAGGATGCCAAGTAAAGCTCAAAGTCTGTTATATCTCTGAAGGTTAAGAGACCTAGCTGTCCAATACAGCTGTACTGCAGGGTTGCCCATGGTGATCCTGCTGCAGCAGATTGCCTGACATGCTCCATGATGGGGACTGCAAGAGCACTGGAAATGTCAGGAGAGATGGAAGAAGTCAGCACCTTGTATCTTTGATGCCAAAATTGCTCACTCCTCTTTTGTTTCTGTGGACATGACAGATGATGTGACAATGTGTGCATTTTGGCAGAGGCTTAGGAAAGTTTTTTTAAAGGATATAGCCATGGCTTGCCTGAGGTGCTATTTAATGCTTTTGCTGTATGAGCTAAATAAGTCCCTGTTTTGTTCTCCCCAGTCAGGGTTGAAGGCAGATAAACCACAAACTCTTAATCAGATATGCAAAGTTATTGGACAAAAATACCCTCTTGTAAAGGAGGACTGGAAGGGAGGATTGCCCTAAAATAGCTGGACTTTAGGAGGCCTTCACTATGGAGTCTTCTGGCTTTTCATAAAACTGAATATAATTTCTCAGATGCCCTGCATGGTAAAAATACTGCATGCAGTGGGGTAGGGCACTTATTTCCTTGTCTGTATATCCAGACCAGAAGATAAACATATTTTTCGTAACCTCTCCTTGCAGTTGTCTAAGTTCCATCAATTTCTGTAACATTGCTTGCGACTTACAGCTACATAAATGAGTTCAAAATAACTTACTAGTTCTCTGAATGACTAGTTTTGGACACAAATTCTTTTGAAAATACAGGTACCTTCCAAAGCATAGAAGAGAGACATACTAATCTGGGCATTTTATGAACTGGGAGACATTTTGATGCTTTTCTGCGTGAGAAAGATCCTTTTATGTAAAAGTGTTGCTGAGATACTTTTTACACCAATCATTTTTGCTGATGTATTCGAGTAAATGTGACAGTAGTGTTCCATGCACCTATAAGAGACACATCCAAGTTTTGTACTGACAAACTGCTCAGATGTGTCAGGACTAGTAGCTTTCATTTATGTACTCAGTGGCAGGCAATTGCTTCAGAACACAGTGTTTTCAGACACAGTTCAATGAACATTGCTGAAAGGCTGTCTCTGATATGTGATTTTTTTCCTATTTCTTTGCTTCTTCTTAGATCTATATTTTTAATATCTGCATTCCATGTCCAATTGATTGATAATTTCTATATATTTGAGGTTTGCCTTTGAAAATATTGAAAATTTGTAGATTTGCCAATTTACCCACTAAATCCCATTCTCCATTTGAGATGTAGTTGGAAATATCAGCCTCGAGCATCTGCAGGTCAATCAACCAGCCACTGTGAGTCCAGGAGCCAAACTTCAAATCACACTTCTGCACATCAAAGGGGAACCAGCGGACATCAATGTAACATGTGCTCTTCAAAATGCCTGTAGATAGAAATCAGTCATGATCAAGCATGTGCAGGGTGCATTTCATCTTACCTTTATCTGTCTCTGATTGTGAACCAGTTTCCTCTTCAAATATTCTGTGTGATACAGTCTTGGGGTAACCAAACAAATACTGCAGGTGGAAGATGCTGCCATGAGTGGAATAACCTCCCTTCCTCCACCAGTGAAGATCTCTCTCACTGCATCCTTGAGGTAGGTTGCCTAGGACACTGTGGCCATCCAGGAGCAGCCCAGCCTGTTTTCCAGTGCCAGCTGGCCCTAGCAGATTGCAGGCAGTGTTGCTTGGTCTGACAGGAGCAAAGAGTACACCCCAGGGACTTACTGCGCTGTGACCAGATCTGTGAAAGGAGTTCCTGGACAGGCCATGCCTCAGACCCACAGCCCTTAGAAAATACATTGTTCTCCTAAACCTTGCTTGGTGATGGCCTTTATCATCTGTGTGGTAACCAAGCCTTGATTTTAACTCTGGATGTGTCTAGTTCATGTTCTGGGATGCTTTAAGGGGTCTAATGGGTAGGGAACAACAGGGGAGCAGCCATCAGGGAATGATTGCTAATCCCTACTGGGCCTTGTCGACCTGCTTGGAGACAGTGTTATGCTATGACACAAAGTTTAGGAATTTTTTTGTCCACCACAGTGAGCAACTGTAGAATAGCCTCTCTGTTCACAGGTGAGTCCTGGATGCTGGAACACACAGGCAGGGAATCAGCAACACAAATTAAAGAGACTGAGACTTGGGCCCCACTGGCTGAGACCAATCCCAGTTTGTCTTGTAACCTGGATTTTAGCCTCAGCCTGGCAAGAAGGGTTTCAATGCTGAGGAAGTGCTGCTCTTGGGGTCACCTCTGCACACACACCTCTCCACACAACAGAGACCTAGCTGGAGTGCACATGAAACATGATGACATAGTGCACACCACCTTACTTTGGATGACACCTTAGGGGCACCTCTGGATGTTTTGAGCAAACTGCTCGAGGAATATTTTACTGCTTCATAAAGTGTAAATGCCACTGATAAAGGACTTACATTTTCATAGTGGGTCTGTCCCATTATTAGACTGTCTAATATGGGTGAGAAAGATCCCAAGGTTGCAAACATTAGGTTGCAAATTTCCACAGAGGGTGTTTAAACACCCTTGGTTTCATTCATGAAGGAAACCTGCTTGAAATTACTTGATTAAAAGTAAACAAATACTCTCTGTGCCCTACCTGGAGGAATATATTGGCAGGATCCAGAGTAGTTCACCAGCACATTTGTGTGAAATGTTGCATCAAATCTTTCATCTGCACTGTAACACAGTATAAACAAAACAGAAAAAAATAAAGAAAAAGCAAGCTGATGTGCAAGTAAAGATGTAACTGTCAACATAAAAATAATCTTTTGTCTGAATTAAGTTCCTACATCTGGGTGAAGTGTCCCTTGATAAATATGTCAGTTCCTCGTAGTTACTGTCAGCCTGCACCTCGGCAGGCTGCTTGCATGCTGCAATGTCCTCAAAGAAGTGAGAGGCAGAGTGTTGCATGTCTCAGAAAAAAGGCAAAAGGAAAAGAAGCAAAAGTGCCACATTAGATGTATCCAAAAACTGGACAGTTGGGACAATGAGTCTTTTCCAGGGCACTTGTCAAAATGAGCCAGCTCACCACATAAACCACCTTATCTGTTATCTTACCCAGATATCTGTAGTAACAGATACATAGTAACAGCAATGGTGGCCTGACATAACAACTCTGCAGTCTCCTCAGATGCAGAGAGGACAAGAGTTTGCTTCTAGCATTGGAAGAAACCACTGGAGAGAAGTTATTTTAGGAGCTTGAAGGAGGAGATTCATTGAAACTCCAACAGCAGGAGGGACCAAGAACAAAGAATTTCTTTACTATTCGAAAATTCTGAGATAATTAAAGGGGTAATGAGCCAGACAAGGACACGATTCTTCAAAGAAGCAGGTCTGGGGGCTTGTTCCAGAGGGTCTTTTAGAAAGAGATTAGCCACAGAGGGATCCCCTAGCTTGTAGAGCCTTGCCTGTACTGGCTATGTGCAGATCTGTGTTGCATGACTATGCTATCCTGCATACCCTGTCTTTCAACCGGATTTTAAAAATTCAGAGCCTCCATTACTCTTCTGATCTGCTTTTTATTCATGTCTTGAGTCTTCAGTCCCCAATACAAAACAAAGGGGATGACACTGAAAAGCCTTAGTCCAGAACAAGTGATATTTATCAAAGACATAAAAGACAACAAAAAGGGGTTTTATAAGTACAAAGGGACAAGGAAAAGAGGAAAGGAAGGGAAAAAACAACAGGGTGCAGCGAGCTGCAGTTTCCTGCACCCTGTGTGCCTCACTCTTCGCAACCCATTCTCACACAGTGGCAGGAGTCCATGGCAGAACAGGGGATGAACAGGTTAAGGAAATGTAGATAAGAGAGATTCTACTCAGCAGAGCTGATGAAATTTACTCTTGAGAACTGAAAGGACTGGCCGAAATACCCTCTGAAGCATTAAAAATTATCTGTGAGAGCTTGTGGAGAAGAGGGAAGGGCATGGTGAATTAGGGGAGATCAAAGAGAATTTTGACTTCTTTTAAAGGTGAAATTACAGGCATCAGCCTAACTTCAAAGAAAATGGGGTGAAACATATGGCACAGATTTGTGAAGGGCCAACTGCATCAAATCAATCTATTTTTCTTACTAAGAACAGGCTGGTATCTATCTGAATTTCAGCATGTTCTTATAAACTACAGTAATATGGACCAAGCTGTACGCCTCCTTTTTAGAGACTGAAAAGGAATAAAGAGACAGTAAGAAGCAAAGCTGAGGTAAAGAAAAGCACTTAAACAATCTAGGTGTCTCCAGGCCTCCTTTGGATATCTTGTAGTGAGGATTTGGAATGGATATAGATCATGGTGAACTCTGGAAACTAACAAAATGAAATTTAATCTGGGTAATTAGAAAGTATTACCCTGAAAACTGTCAGAGAAAGACATAAGAGTGAAAATCTAGTAAGACAGCAGAGCTGAACAACATCTGGGGTTTGCAATAGATAAAAAAAAAATAAGTCCAGAATTAAGATATTATTAGAGAAACCCCAAATCCCCTTCTCCTGGAAAGCATTAAGGAAACAGCTGTCTAGAGAGCTTCCACTTCATTCAACACTGCAGCAATGCTGTCTAGAGAGCTAGATTCATCTCTGTAGAAGGAAAAAGAGATTAGCGAATGTTCAGAGTAGAAAAAGAATGATGGAGAGGTTTATAAAATATGTGATAATGGAAATGAGATGAAAATCCATTTGTTTACTTCAATCAGAAACACCATGACACATATAGGACAGTAGCTCTCCTGCAGATGCGGTAATTTTGAAGAGACTGTAATAGTTTCCTCTCTGTGTTCACAGAGAAAAAGTTAAAGAAGACATCTGCGGAAGTACAGCAAGGAAGATCAGATGGGCTACTAGAAAAATCTGTTAGCTGATGCTTGCTTGTTTCTGTTACTATTTAAGGATAAGGCCAAATCCACAGAGGGCAAAAGGCCCATAGTATCAGTGAAGCATAGCTGATTTTCTGCACTTACTTCTAGTCTCCTACCAGCCATTTCACATCTTGCTTACCTGTTATACAGAAGAATGTCTGGTACCCAAATCTGGTCGGCAGGAAATCGCAAGTTCTGCACTCCTGGGTATTCGTATTGATCCCAAGACAAGTAAACATCAACCCAGGACTGTTGACAAACACATACATCAGGTTATATGAGCTTTTTAAAGTCTTCTAAGTTCTTTGTAATATTATGGGAATAGAATAGATTTTGCCAATAGCAATAGTCTCAGTATGATAATAGTTAATTCTCGGTTTTAATTATTAAGAAAGGCTGGCATATATAGAGGAAATAACAGTGCGACTACTGAAGACAGGGCTTAGCTCTTCATCTTGTGGCCAGGCATGCCAAACCTTTGCTGGATGGCTGGCAGATCCACTGGCAGTAGTCACCTCCATGAGGTCTGCTGGTTCTGAAGTAAAGTGGTTTTTGAGATGGTTAGTGGTAGGTGGACCATGGTCTGAGTCTCCTCATTGGGTGGAAATAATTTAATCTGTTACAAAGGTTGGGTGGCTCTTTTACTAACCACCTTGCTATGAGAGGTAGGCAAGTGAACTTTACGTGCCAAGGGACTGCTTCTGATCCCATCTCCTCCACCTCAACACAGTTAATTCGAGAAAGGTGCAGGAACAGCTTTTGGGAGGAACCTTCTGACTTACAATGAAGCTCAGTGGGAGGCTTGCAAGGGAAACCTTAATCAGTGAAATATCTCTGTGGAACATCTGAACCTGTGGAACATCTCTGCAAAGGACAGGACGCCTACAGGCTCTGACCTAATAACCCTGTAGTCGTATAGGTTTGTCTTGGTTAGTTTTTGCAATATAAAAATGCTCATTTCTGCTGCAAATCCCAGCAGGCAGCTGAGGAAGAAACAGCCTGCTCAGCTGAACATATTAATATGAGATAGTGTTTGGCTGTGAAAATCAAAGTGGAATTAGTTTAATCATTCAAGTCTCCCATTGGTTTAAGAACTTTAAGAACTGCTTCCTTCCTGACCACAAGCCCTTAAGGAGATCTGTTTATGCAGCATAAGAAAACACTGTATCCCTCACCATAGGCAGCCAGGCAGACCTGATGGGAAATTCCGTCCTGTAAAGGAGGTCCCTTTCCTTAGTGAAGGTCAGTTTTGCTCATTCTGTGTGAGCATGCAGGTGAATCCTCAGCTGGAGCAGGTTGCAGAGGAGGGAGGAGGAATGTTTATGTAAGAGGTTTGTAAAGCATGAGGGAAAGCAGTATTCCAGAGAGCTGCCTGCGTGCTGCCAGCAGCAAAGCAGCACTGTGCCCTCTGTGGTCCCTGGACTACCCACCACCCCCTATGAGTAGTCTGCATGTGACCACTTCTGTGTTCAAGGACAGATGCCCTGGCTCCCAGTCTCAGGCAGAGGGGGAAATTTCCAAGAAGTGGTAAGTGCAGGTGCCTGTTTTACTGGGTGTTTGGTTGCTCATAAGTCTCCATCACTGGTTATGGAGAGGGCCTTGACCCCCTTGAAGATACTTTTCTCAGCTATGATGGGACTCTAACTCTGGACTCTTTGTTACTAGATCACTACATCCACTGGCAAAACAATGCAGTTGGTTTCCATGCTCAAAAGGTCAACAGGTCTGTCCAAAGGATTAGTGTAGTCTCCAGAATTTAATTTTCAATTCTAAAAGGAGTACTAGGGAAATTTTAAAGGACTCAAAATGCCTGTATTGCATTATACATAATCTATAAGATAGCAGTCTTGCTTTTCTGCTAAGAAATCACATTCAGTTGTTTTCAATTAGTTTCTTTACTAACAGAGTTTACTCACCATCTGCAGCCAAGCATTGGTGATCAACACCTGATTCTTCTCATCCTTTGAACAAAAGAGAGAAGAAAAGACAAGGAAAAAAAAGGGATGAAACAGTTTGATTAGAGATGGACGAGTTTCTGTGTCTTTTAGAGAATCCACACTTTTGGAATACATAAACCAAACTCCATAGAGTAGATTGTGAGCTCACTGGAACACCACTATTTCGCCCAGACAATAGTGGCTCTTTTTCTTATCCTTTACACCTACAGACTCCCTGTATTTATCATAACTGATCAACAAGAGAAAGGAAAGTAATAGATTATTTCTCTTCTTTTCCTGGGGATGAACTCCCTACCAAGTTTTACCTTCTAGCTACCTGCTCAAAACAAGATGTTTTTCAGAACCACACTACATGGCATAGCTGGAGAGATTTTATGTTGTGTTTGCTGCCACTGCAAAGTAATGGTGAAATAATGCCAGAAGTGTTCTTTTCAAGTGTCATTGCTATGTAAGTTAGCTCTGGCTAAAGGAAAGAAAGGGCTGGCCTTAGGCAGAAGCTATCACTTGGCTAAAAGGACACAAATGCTGCATGAGAGGGAGCTCACACAACAGCTTCACAGAGCAGGAGTCTGCAGGTTCATTCCTGCATGCAGAGGCCACATGGAAGAATCTCTTATAACAGAAACAAAGATGTTCTCACCACCCAGTTGGTGCCCAAGTTCTGTGGAGAGTCACAAGGTGCCCGGCTTTCTTCACTTACTCGGCAGGTCCAGGACCCTGCACCGTGGGGGTGGAGAAGCAGGGCTGCCGAGTCACTATGATGCAGATACACAGGTTCCCAAACACCACAGCAGCCATGCCCTGCACTTCCCAGGAGCTGAGGCTGTGCTGCTCAGGGGGCCTGGCTCACTGTATGCCCAGCTGTCCCTGTGTGTGTCCATGCCCTAGGAAGCTTATGTGGTTGTCTGCAGTGTCTCAGGTGGGAGACATTGCAATTGCAAGCTGCTTGGCAGGCATTTAAACCATACAGAGAACTCCCTGGACATGCATGCCCTCTCTGGTCATGTCCTTATTGCAGTACTTACTCTCTAACAAGGTAGAAAAACCTAAACTGCCTTATTCACTTTGGAAAAATACCAGTCTGCCCACCTCAAGCTACATTCATTCTGCCTTTCCTCCCTCCTCCCCTCCTGAGCCACCCTCACAGTACATATGCAAAGAAACTTTCCCAGAAATGTTATGGAAGGGCTGCTCAAAATCAAACTGCAACATCTCACTGCAACCCTAGGTGTGTCTGGTCATCTGTGTGTCCTCTGGAGTTACCTCTTCTGTGTCCCATGCAGGACCTGCAGATTCCTAGACTAAGGCATGAAGGAGAACTGCCCAGAGAAGTCTCCTAATTACCGATTCCCCAGCACAGCAGGCACTGGACCAGTGGTACTGCTGAATTCTTAGCATGAACCTTGTCTGTAGCATCATCTCCTCTTTTTACATCTGGGTTGTTGGAGCTCCAGAAATACAACAAACTAGAAAGGGAGACATCATTGACTATTACAGAAGCACTCCAGCAAGGAGTCCAGCTGTAACATCAACTTCTGGAGGACTCCTGATTTGGCACTCTGGCCAGAGTTAGGCTCTGCAGCCAGGCTTCTTTTTACCAGGAAAGGTAAATTTCAGACAGGAAACAGGCCATAATGCCATATCTTTATGGCCATATCTTTGCCATAATGATCCACATAAAACTGTCTATCACAGTATCTCTTCTTGAGTCCCCTTGAGACCTTACTACACTTCTTCTGCTGCAGTGAGATGCCACACAAAAATCAGATGTGATTTTATATTGTTACGCTGATCACACATTTCCCTTTCTCCTCTTTGCTGTTCCAGCAAATGTACTCCTCTCTATATGCAAACTACAACCCACCTCCAGAGGCCTGGTCCTTCTGCACCCCCTTTTGTTCCCTTGGTTGCTGTGGTTGAAGCAATTGTAAGAAAATCTGCAGAAAAATAAGAGAAGGACTGGGCTTGTTGAGACAAGTTTTTTAGATGCTGGAGGATTCAAACACCATCTTGAAAAATAAAATTCTAAAGTAAAGAATAACCTCAGAGCTGGTAATTGATAGAGTCATCAGAGCTATCTGTGTCCACTGACCTGGGAAATGAAAGCAACCCAGAAACACAAAGGTTGTGTCTCAGGGATCCTCAGAGGCTAACCACCAGCCCATCTGATTGATGCATTCCTGGCCACCAGTGACTCCTGAGGTGTCCTGTAGGGCTGGCAAGCATGATGGTCATCTGAATTGCACATCAAGTACTAACAATATTTTGTGCTCTTAGCCAAAGACTGCTTTATACTTGTACGCTGCACATGTCCTCCTAACAAAGACTTTCTGTGTACTGTTAAAAGAGCTTGAACAACATGATTAAGAATCTGGTCAGCAACAATCAGCCAATGCCATTGCTGTACAAAACTAAGTATTTTCCCCATCTACACTGAAACCTACAGGGAAGGGGAAGAAGGGACATTCCCTATTTTGTCATCTACCTGTGTAAACCTCACAGGAACGCATTAAAGTCCAACGTACATCTGTGAGGCTGGGGGTTTCCATCATGTGCAGATGCCTTCCATCAGGAGCCTTTCATAAGTGGCTCTGATTTACAAGGAAACTAATTTTTTTCTGGCACAGTTCATACTCGACAGCCTGCAAAGGAAGATATCTCAGGCTGATTTCTGTATTTCAGAAAAACAGTTTGTTGTCCTTACCTGTTTATCTGTGTGTCAAATACTAATGACCTGGCTAATCAGCTTTGACTCCAAACAGTTCTTGTCAGGTATTCCACGTAGCGTTAAATTTACTGTCTTGGGTCTCCTTTGCCTGCTTTTTCACAGGGCTACTGTGCTTAGATATGTTTTGTAGTCAACAGAAAACTTACAGTTTTGAGTTCTCAAATGCTTATCTAGAGAGCAATGATGGTCTTCCTTGTCTGGTGTTTAGATAGCAGTAAAACCACAAGGTCTAACAAGGGCTTTGGGCTGCTTATGTTTCTCTTAGCTTGGGTGAAACCAAAAAGTCACTTCAGGATGTTTTCTTGGCCATTCAGAGACTATTCCCATCCTTGCCTTCAGGCTGCTGAGCTTTTAAATGGCATCTGACATTTTGGCAAAACAGAGAAAATGCTTACATATGCTGGTCAACATGACAAGACCAGCATGATATGCTGGTCAACAGATGCAGCCTGATGGGTCCTTCTCGTTGCATGACAGAATAGAACATTTTTCAAACAAGGATCTGAGTTTTCCAGAAGTGCCTGGTTTACAGAAGCAGCAAAGCTGACTTCACACTGGCCAGGCATTTGTCTGGGTGTAGCTCTCCTGCTAAGTCCTTTCTGGACTAAGTCCTGAAAGGACTCCTGCTAAGTCCTTTCCCTGAGGAACCAAGGAAAAAGTGCCTTCTGGGGTTGCCAAGGAGAGGAGGGCCATGGGAACCTTGAGTCTGAGTTCACCCTCTGTTACAGGAAGCATTTTAGAGCTGAGGTGTCTGTGGAGCTTTCCATCTTTGTGGTAGCTTTGCATTCTGTAAGCAAATACTTTGGCCTGTGCAGTAGGCTGATTGTCTTGCCTTTCCAGAGCTGCAGAAGAATTACAGCTCCTGCCATCTTCATCATGATCTGTGTGCTGTATGCACCCCTAAAATACCTTAGCACAGAAGGAACTGTATCTTTCTGTTACACAGACACGCACAAACAAATAAGTGGACAAAGTCTGTCTCAGGAGATCACTGGTCACTTAGCTTTGCAGAAATTAAAAGGTAATTATTGAGCTTGGGAAGTGCTGGAGGAAGTTCCCTCATTCTGTGTCACTGGTTTATGCAGAGGGGTTTAAAGGTTAGTTGAGAGGATGCCTTTCCTTCCAGGAGAAAACTTGAATAATCTGTCAGACTGCTTTTTGTGCTCAAGATTCCCGTCTTGACACTGTCAGCCTTGGGAATGACCTTCCCTCTGCATTGGGCCAGCTCTCAGCTCCCATCTTTTTTTGCAGCAAAGCATTGAAAGCAGTCCTGCAAAGATTCTGGGTGAGGCTGAAAATGATCAGCTCTCAGAGGTGCTGTTCCATCATTCCTCTGGCAGTTCTCCTGGTCCGCAAATGTTCAGCTCAGACAAATAATTTTGCTTCTAGTATTTAAAAATGCCAGAAAAGCTGTGGTCACAAGTGAGTGCAACACTTGTTCTCTAAATCCTTCCTGTATTTATCTGGGTCATTTTCTCCCCTTTCTATCTCTAGCCTTACTCCAGTTAATCCTCTGCCTTGGATATCTGCTTATTCCTACAGCCACCTTTGACCCATGTAAAGTGACAGTTTGGTTTGTTCTGGTGCACATGCTGTGACATGTGAATGTTTTAGTTTGGTTTTCTTTTCACTGCCCTAAATTCAAAGCTTACAATGTATGTACATCTGCCTACATTGTGCACCACTGCCTGTCAACAGATGCTCCTTTGCCAGGTCAACACCTAAATAAAATATAACTGCCCTTAGCCACATAACTACTTGGGTCACATCACCTGGACAAAAAACTCAAAGCCCTTCCTGGTTCAGTAGTCACATCATATGATTACATGTCATCTATGCAGCAAGGCATTTGTTACCACGTGATCAGCAGGAGTCATTAATTCTTGCCCTCTCACAGAGCCACAGAAGTGGGAGTTGAATCAGCCACTGAATTATTTCAAGACAATGATCAGAAAAGTCCCTAATTGAACAGGTAACTCTCAATGGTCATGTGTGACTACTTAGGTACTACTTCAGGTAATTAAAATTTTTTTCCCACTGTTTTTATACCTGAATATCTGAAGATGAGAAGTGAAACAGTCAAGTGACATGAAAACATTGACATGGGGACGTGTAAAGTTTTGTTAGCAGAGACAATGATCTTTGAGTAGGATCCTATTAAAAATATCCAAAGGAATTGATCAAGCTTTCAAATGCTTGTATGCTCAATCTACAACTGTACAGGCACTCCTTTCCATTGCTGAACCACCAATCTACCCACAATTTTCAGCTGATT